CGTGTGCATGTGTGCACGTGGTGTGTGCGTGTGCACAGGCGATCAGTGTGCGTGTGCATGTGTGCACGTGGTGTGTGCGTGTCGCGGCCGCTGAGAGAGAGAGAGCGCGCGGAATGCTTCGGGTTGCTATGGCGACTGAGCTTTCACTCGCGGGCTTCCTGCCTCACTGGGGCTCCGGGCTCCATGCCAGTGGGGTCGCTGCCCCCTGGGCGCCGCCACCCCTTCGGTCGCCCGTCGTGTGCCGGGGGCCCCGGAGCAGCGGGCGGGTGGGGGACCCCGGTCCGGCGCAGGCTCGGGCAGGCGCAGCAGACCCCTGCTCAGGGCGCGGCCACTGCACTCCCCCCGCCCCTCGGGCCGCCCCACCTCCCTGCACGTCGGGCCGGCCCCGCCCACCAGCTTCTGGCCGGGAGGGGGCGCTGGTGGTACAAGTGTTTAACAATTTCACATTTTAGGGACACCCGTCTCCCTCCGTTCTCAGCTAACAAATCACCCAGGCCAAGAGGAATGGCGCCCCCGCCCCGGGGGCTGCCCCTGGAGGTGGCTGTCCTGCGTCCTGCGGGAGAGCTCTGCGGGGCGCACTGTTCCACTCGGACGCAATCCGGCGTGTTGGGTGAAAATGCTAACGTCAGGGCATACGTGATTGCGTTTGTGAAAACTCGGTACTTCCTGCCCTGTCCCAGGCTGCGTGACTCCCTAATAGGAGACTGACGACCCCCGCCGGTGACAAGCCGCCACCGCCAGCCGCATCCCCGCGTGCTCTGATCCGCTTCGTGCCGCCCTGTCCGCGCTGGCACTGGATGCTGGGCCCGCCCGGGGTCCCTGGATCACAGGACAAGGTGAGTGCGCCCCACAGAGAGCGGGGAGGGCTCCGGCGCGGAGTCCCTGTTCAGCGCCGGTGGTCTGCGTCCCCACAGCGCTCCATGGCCTGGAGCCGCAGCCAGAACCTCTCGGCGCAGGCCCCTTCCTCCTGCTGGGCTTCCCGGGGCCGCGGGGCCTGAGCGTGGCGCTCTTCCTGCTCCTCCTGGCCGTGTATGTGCTCACGGTGGCCGGGAACCTGGCCATCATCGCCCTGGTCGCGGCGCACCGGCGCCTGCAGAGGCCCATGTACTTCTTCCTCTGCAACCTGTCCTTCCCGGAGATCTGGTTCACCAAGGCCTGCGTGCCCAAGACGCTGGCCACCCCGGCCTCCCGGATGGAGCCATCTCCTTCGCCGGCTGCGTGGCGCAGATGTACTTCGTCTTCGCGCTGGGCTGCACTGAGTCCTTCCTGCTGGCCGCGATGGCCGACGACCGCTACCTGGCCGTGCGCCTGCCGCTGCGCTGTAGAAGTATTATTTTGATAATTTAGTAGATAAAATGGAGCACAGACCACGCCCTCACCTCTCTCCTTTCACCTCAAGCATGGCTCAGGCAGAACTGACAGGGCTGTGTCTTGACCAGTGTCCACTCTCACGGCCCCACCACCAAGGACCACTGAGAGAACGGGACTTCCCGCTGCTGGCCAGGCCAAGCATGAAGGGCAGTTGCCTGGACTTGGCAGGGCCTGGGTGGCACTGAGCAAGGTTCTGCCGCGAGCCCCTGGGAGCCAAAGCTAGGGACAGGCGGGAGGCAGGGGTGGGCTGAGCCTGCCGGCCTGGCAGTGGGACAGGCGCGGCGCTGCCGTGCAGAGGGTCTACAGCCCAGGCTGCCCTGGGCCCCACTGCTCCCTCAGCCCCGGCTCAGGCCCCACTTCTTGAGCCCATCAGAGACCCTCACGCGACACTGCACCTGCCCCGCCTCCCGTTTCTGCTGGGTCCCCACGCAGGGGTTACCTCTGAAGCCGATGAGCTGGGAGCCCACGGCAGGGGGTTCTGATGGTTTATTCTCCTGCGACCCAGCGCCTAGAACAGGATGGGCGCCCACGGGTCGAGGCATAATCACTGACCCTGTCGGGCATTATCTTACTGAAGGAGAAGGCAGGGACCAGGACCTCTCATCTCCTGAGGAATGGGGCCATCACGCAGGAGACGAGGGCCGAGTGCCCTGTGCAGTTTGCCTCCCGCTGGAGAGCTGCCTGGGCTCAGTGGCTTCCTGTGTGTGCTGCTTTGGCTCACGGCGCGACAAGCCTTGCATGGTCGAACGCTCGCTTTGGCAGAGATCTGAGGACTGAATTTGGGGGCTGCTCTAACAACCGGCCAGAGGGCGGGGGGCTGACCAGGTGGCTGTGGGGCACAGGGCGCAGGGCAGAGTGGCAGATGCCCCCAGGCCAGGGTGAGGCCACAGGGACGAGCCACGGACGTGTCCAAGCACACACCTGCAGGGAGAACAGCATCATGATCCGTCTGTCCTCACCGCACGTCGCTGAATTGCTCGTGTTTGTCCATCTCACCTCGTCCGTACCTCCCTCTGCTCTCTTGGTTTACTTTAGAGCAACCTCATGATCCATATTTATCTAAACAGAGTTTCTAAGAGGTGAAGACACTTTAAAATCTCTACACGATATGATCATTGCACCTAAAAATAACAGGGTCCCCTCAGTTTCATCGCGTTTGACCACGATCACATTTCTGTGGCCTTGCGATTGCCCTTTGTTGTTGACCTGTCTGAATCGGGGTTGAAACGTGGTCCACACGCAAGGACCTCGGCTCCCCCGGCCTTTGCCTCCTCCTTGGCCTGCGCCCCCAGGGCTGGCCGCGCTGCACGAGGGGAGGTTTCTATTCTCAACCCTGGTTCTGGGGAAGCTTGTTCCTCGGGCTGCTGGGGAATAGAGCATAAACCTCTTGGTGCCCAATCAAGCCTACTGTTTACGAAGAGATTCCAGCCAACTTTGATGTGAGACGTTTTAAGAGCTGGGACCAGCGTGTAGCTTTCCCTGGGGCGTCATTATACGGAAGGCGGGATGGCGTTGGGGCCTGGCCAGCTGCGGGTCTGTTAGAAAGCCGGCGGTTCCCGCTCGTTAGGCAGCGTCTTCAGGGACGGTGGGCACTGTCCCGATTGATGACTTCAAATTCACTCCGGGGCTCAGCTCAGAGGAGTCAATTAATGTCAAACAGGCAATTCAGAGAGGCGCCCTCCAGGGCAGGGCTGTGCAGCCCAGAGCAGGCGGGATGGGAGAGGCCGAGGTTCCTGCCCAGCCCGACCGAGCAGCCACAATTTCCTGGTCTTGGTGGAATTTTCCTGCATGGAGCAGGCTGCTTGCTCAGTCTGGCGGGGTCTGCGGTGGCACCAGAGCTCACCCTGGAGTCGTCACGCGACCGAGACACCCAAACCCCGACTGCGCAGGACACCAGCGCTTCCCACGCCCTGAACACGTCCCTGTCACGAAAAGGGACTGGCCCCCAACCCCCACTTTGCAGTCACTGATTTCCAGCCATTCCTGCGTCCCTCACAGTCTGCACTATAAAGGGATTAGATGCTTGTTTTTCTGGTGTGTGAACCTTTTATTCCGTATAACACATAGAACAGTGCCCGTCACGTGTGTAACGACGAAAGAGTTATGTGCAGGACGGCCAGCGACCTGTGGAGTTGAAATCACGTGGACAGTGTCCCTCAGAGGAGGCAAAAGCTTGTAATAGCCACACAGCGGAAACAACGCAGATGTCCGTCCACAGTGGACACCAATAAACCGTGGTCTGTTCATGTGGGGGATACAGCCAGCAGCGAGAATCAGCGTGCTCCTGCCACACACACCACGAGGATCTGCAAACGCCCTGCTCACTGCAGTAGCCAGGCCCGAGAGAGCACATGGTGTGTGAAGATTTGAAAAACAAAATAAAAACAGGCAGAACAAACCTGTGTCCCGTGGCCCAGGTCGCGGCCACGCCTGGGCTGTGGGCGGAAGGGAGCGCTGGGGTGTGGGCTCTGGCCGTGTCGGGTTATTGATCCAGGTGCTGTTTTGTGGTCTGTTCAGCTGATGAAAATTCAGCTTGATTGACAGTTCTCGCTTCGGCAGCACGCACACTAAAACTGCAACGATGCAGAGAAGATTAGCACGGCCCCGCACAAGGATGACGTGCAAATTTGTGAGGTGTTCCATATTTTTATGTGAAATTTCTTAGGTGAAAAATACAGCTATAGGGTTCGGATGAGGCCAGGTGCTCCTGGTTCGGTATCTCAAGCCCAGAAAGATGAGTTGATCCTTGGAGGAAACGACATTGAGCTTGTTTCAAATTCAGCTGCTCTGACTCAGCAAGCCACAACAGTTAAAAGCAAGGATATCAGAAAATTTGGGGATGGTATCTATGTCCCTGAAAAGGGAACAGTTCAGCGGGCTGATAAGATCTAAGAGTTGTCCAGCCGCGTGAAGATGCCAGATGATTCCTATTTGCAATTTTCATGCTGCTATTGATTTGGGGGGAAAAACTTGATTAACAAACTTGAACATAGAGACATCTGTAGGTGCTGCACCCAGCGATTGCAAATACACATTTGTTTCAACTCGTGCAGACATTAATAAACTCGCCATAACAAAATGTCATCAGGCTAAAGTCTCAAACTAATTTTCAGGCTTTGAGATCATACAGAATATAGTTTCTGACTACAATGCAATTAAGGGAGAAGTCAACAACAAAAAAATAACAAGAAAACTTTCACGTGCTTGGAAATACGCAAACATGAACACCTCATAAAGGGTTTTTAATTGAGGTATAATTCATCGTAAGCCTGATGCACAGTAGGTATACCATTTGTCAGTTGTTTTCCTTTCCATATTTTATTTAAGAAAACTTTGTCTTCCTGAGATTGTAAAGATATTTTCCCGCATGTGTTCCAGGTATTCTGTAGTTCCAGCCTTCCATCGAGGTCCGCGATCCATCTCAAATCCACACCAGCGTGTGGTGGGGCAGGTGTCAGGGCTTTTGCTCTTCCCAGGTGGATCTAACACAGCTGCAGAAGTCTTTGCTTCCCCATTACAATGCCTTTGCCCCTTGGCTGAACACTGATTGAGTGCTCATGTGGGTTTGCCGATGGACTCCGTGTCACCTCCCTGTCCATCTTTACCCCAATGCCACGTTGCCATTGCTTGTGTGGCCGTATAATAAGTACTGGCATTAAATATTCTAAGTCTTGACACTGTTCTTTTTCAGGAGAAGTGAGCAGAAGGGAGGGTGGATGCCAGGCAGGACGAGGAAGCCGTGGGGCAGTGGGACGTTCACTGTCTTCATCGTGGCGATGGTCTCACAGGTGTGTGCATATGTCAAAACTCATCACATGGCACACTTGAAGTGTGGTGGTTTATTATATATCAATCACACCTCAATAAAGCTGTTTTTTAGGAAAGAAAAAACTTCCCACAAAGAAAACTCCAGACTCAGAACCTCTGGCAGAACCAGCAGTGCGTGAAAAGCACACTGCCGCCACCCAAGCTGGTTTTCTCCAGGAGTGCAAAGTTGCATTTAAGAAAAAGTTAAGGCCAGGCGCGGTGGCTCACGCCTGTAATCCTAGCTCTCTGGGAGGCCGAGGTGAGCGGATTGTTTGAGCTCAGGAGTTCGAAACCAGCTTGAGCAAGAGCGAGACCCCGTCTCTACTAAAATTAGAAAGAAATTAATTGGACAACTAAAAATATATAGAAAAAATTAGCTGGGCATGGTGGCGCATGCCTGTAGTCCCAGCTACTCGGGAGGCTGAGGCAGGAGGATCGCTCGAGCCCAGGAGTCTGAGGTTGCTGTGAGCTAGGATGACGCCATGGCACTCTAGCCTGGGCAACACAGTGAGACTCTGTCTCAAAAAAAAAAAAAAAGAAAAAGTTAAAATCAGAAAATTGATCACTGAAATTTGCCACACTGCAATACTAAGGGAGAACAATCATTGTCCTAAGAAATGCAAAATTTTTTATATGAAATTTGATATCCATTTTTGATAATAAACAAAGTTCTTGCAAGCTGGAATTAGGAGGTCACTTCCTTAATCTGATAACCAGTATCATCAAAACACACCTCACGGCAAACTCACCTCATCTTCCTTAATCTGATAATGAGTAGCATCAAAACACACCTCGCCGCAAACGTCCCTCTTGTGCTGACTTTGCGCTGGGGCTCGTAACTGGTGCAGTGAGGCAGAGAAGAAAGGCATGAAAGTTGGAAAACCAGAGTCCAAACCATCCTCACGCACAGACAGTGCCAGTCAGAATGTAAACAATCCGGAAGAACCCACAGATAGTTAACAAAAGTCTTAGGAAAGTTTGGCAAGTTTACTGAATGCAGTCAATAAACAAAAGTCAATTGTTTTTCTACATATGAGCAATAAACAGACATTTTAAAAAATAGCTACCACATATAAAAGCAACAAAAATACCAAATATCTAGGAATTAATCTAATGAAAGATGTGGAAGACCTTAATGTAGAGAACTGAGAGACATTAAAGGAAGATCTAAATAAATGTAGACATGCAAGTTTATGCGTTGGAAGTCTCAATCTTGTAAAGATGTAAAATTTCCCCAAAATTAAACTGTGGGAGGGGAACAGGACTGGACAAACTAATCTGAGAGTTACAAGGAAACCCCAACAGGGGAACGGGGGACCAGCCCAGCAGCGGCCACCGGGGTCTTCAGGCAGCTGCTGGTGGGGTCCCCGGGGCGGCGCGGGGAGGGTTAGGGTTAGGGTGCGGCTGACGACAAAGGGGGTTTCCTTCCCTTTTGTCGGCGATGTTTAGAAGCCACAGGAGAAAGACCAGACTGGGGAGACCCCGAAGAAGCCAGAGGTCGTTCCTGGGGTGTCGGAGCTCCGCACCGACAGGCCCGTGGCTCCCCAGCCGAGAGCGCAGGGTCTGGGGGATGGGGGGCACGGGGCCACCGGAGAGAAATCACCCACCGGAGTCTCGGCAACGACCAAGGTCCTGCGGCCGGGGAGGGCGGGGAGGCAGAGGAGAGGTTTCTGCCCGTGTGTGGGAACCGTGCCCGGTGCCAGGGAGGCTGGGCCAGAAGCGGGGGCTCATGCCCTGAGGGTTGGGGCTGCAGCCCAGGGCAGCTGCCCAGCAGGGCCTGCAGCTCCACCCGCCCGCAAAGCTGGACTAGAACAGAACAGCTCCAGCCTCCCACCTGAATGCCCACCTCCATCCCCCCACCTCCAGCCCCCGACCTGAACGCCCACCTCCAGCCCAGGCCCCAGCTCCAGACTCCGTCTGACTCCCTCTCTAAATTGGCAGGCCAAGACTTTCCTTCAGACTTCCCCCAGCCCCCAAATCCTGCTGACCCAGAGCTTTCCATACCCACATCCAATCCACCAGCAAATCCTGCCAGTTCTGCTCACAAGATTGACCCCGCTACACCCCCAGCCCGGCCACATCTGCAGCCCCTAACTGGACCCTGCCCGTCCATTCTCCACCCAGCAGCAGGGACAGGGGCCTTCAAAGGCAGGTGGCACCGCGTCCCTCTTCTGCTCACCACCCTGCAGCCTGCCCAGTCAGTGAAAGCCCAGGAGCACCAAGGCCTGTGTGCTGCGGACCGCCACAGCTGGGCTGGGTCTGCCTGCCCTGCTCTCGCTCCCCGCAGCCATGCTCACTGTTCCCGGTGCCCCAGAGCGGCCCTTGTACTAGTAACAGCTTGTTGCAGGTCTCCCTCTGACACCTGAGCCCCCCAGGCAAACACTTGCCTTCTGGCTGTCCTATCTGGAGTCTAGAGCTGACGCCAAGACCCAGTTAGGGCCCCAGGGACACCGCTGGGTGGATGAATGGAGGGGACGTTGATCAAATGGATTTGGGGCAGGGAACATAGAGCAAAGCTACACTGCCCCTGGGCAGCCCAGAGGTCTGGCTCTGCATGGATCAGGATCCCAGGCCAGGCCAAAGGAGCAGTGGGGCCCTGACCCTCCTCCCAGGGGCTGGTCAGCTGTCCCCTGTGTCCAGGGTGTCCCTTTTCTAACAGTGCACAGAAGGTAGGGGCCTGAAGCCCCTTCCTCAGGTCCTGGGAACCTTCCCTCACCTCCCGCTGCCCTCTGCCCCCTTGAGCAAAGGGCAGGAAGTGGGGGACCTCCATGTCCTGGGAAAGAACAGAGCCCCGGGGGCTGTGGTCCCGGTGGGGTCTCAGTGCTGGGGCAGAGGGTCCTGGTGCCTTTGTCCCTTTTGCAGGGTATCCTTGGTCCACCCTGTGCCCCTTGCAGTGGACCAGCCAGAGATCAGGAGGTGGCGGATGCCAAGGCAGGACTGAAGTCTCAGGAGCCCTCCATAAGAGGGTCAGGGGGCCTGCACCCTTAGCTCTGGGCCTGGGGTGGGGGGTGAGGACCCAGGGATCGCTGGGTGATTTCTTCCTGGGCCCCCTCTGTTCCCCGGGCTGCTGCTGGGGGGTGAGACCGTTCATCTGCCCCACATCCTGCCCACCCCCTGAAGATAGCCTGTGGCAGGGCAAATGGGCAGGCTGAGCAGAGGGCCGGGTGCAGGGCTGGCCAGGGGCCCCTGCCCCAGGGACCGCGGGGCAGGGTCGGAACTCCCCCCAGCAGGAGACGGAAGCCACAGGAGAGTTTTCAGCAGAGCAGTGACGTGATGAGATTTTGGCTTTCGAAGGAGCCAGAGGGTGAGAGGAGGATATGCAGGACCCCTGCATGCCCACCAAGAGCCCGAGGGCAGAGAAGAAGGCTGTGGTGGCAGCCAGGAAGGGCACAAGTGGAGCAGCCAGTCGGGAACACGCCCCAGAGTGACTTGGGTGGCAGCAAGGAGCCCCGTGGCTGGCCAGGCACCTGCTTAACATTTGGAATCAATCAGCATAATTCACCATAGAACAGATTTTAAAGCACAAACAGTATCTCAATAGAGACAGAAAAACAGACAAAGTCAAACATTCATTCTTGAAAAAAAGCGCTCAGCAAGCTAAGAATACAAGAGAAGTCCCTCAATCTGATAAAGGCATCTGCAGAAAGCCTAATTAATACCATACTCAATAACGAAAGGCTGAGGCCGGGCACGGTGGCGCGTGCCTATGGTCCCAGCGCTTTGGGAGGCCAAGGCGGGAGGATGCTGGAGCCCAGGACCTCCAGGCTGCAGTGAGCTGTGATGGCGCCATTGCACTCCAGTCTGAGCGACACGGAGATCCTGTCTCTAAAAAAGAAACTAAACACAAAACATAGTGAAAGGCTGAATGCTTTCACCCCGACATCAAGAGCAAGACAACGTTGTCTCCTTTTACCACTTCTATTCAACATCGCATTAGAGGTTCTATCCAGCCCAATAAGGTAAAAAAGGAATAAAAAGAGCCCGTACAGGAAAAGAAGAAGTAAAGCTCTCTGCTCGTGGCTGACGTGACCAGCTCTGGCGCTCGGACGGAGTCTACAGTAAAGCAGAAGTAACGTGCTGGTTCCACAAGTTTGCCTGATACAAAATCAATATTCAAAAATCAACTTTATTTCTATATATTAGCA